CCTTGATGGCTCCCAGGTGAACTACTTGCTTGTTCTTGTAGTCGTCAATTACATACAGTCGTCTTTTATGCTGTTTTAAAAAGTATTTGAAATGAACAAATTATTGGTTTTGCAGAATTCTATCATGCGATCTCCAGCATCATTTCTGTCATCAAGGCCATATTTTCCAACTACTGGTTCCTCTTTTTTTCCAACCTTTGCATTCCAAGTGCCAGTGACTATCAATATATCTTGACTGCATATTTGATTAATTTCAGACTGAAGAAGGTGGTTGTCTTTCCGTTCCGTAGAATTGGTTCCAACTCAGAACGACCCTGTACAGGGTTTCTGAGGCTGTATATCTTTACAGGAGCAGAAAGCATCATCTTTCTTCTGTGGAGCAGTTGGTAATTTCGAACTGCTGACTATGAGATTAGCAGCCCAATTCATAACCACTACGCTACCTGAGCTTCTTGAAGAAGGTAGTAGAATTCTTCAATTTTATCCTCTCTGGCTTTAGTGGTTGGTACAAAAATTTGAATAATAGTGGTATTAACTGATCTTCCCAGTAGGTGCATGGATATTATTCTATCACAGATAATGTTGTGTCTCATGAGAGATCTTGATATGTCCTTTTTGATGATGAATACAACGCCATTTCTCTTCAATAGAGTAAACCATGTGATTTAGTAAACCATCTAATTGTCAGATTCAAAATGGCGAATACCAGTCCATTTCAGCTGACTGATGCCTAGTGTATAGATGTTACTGTGTTTCATATCATTTTTGACAATTTCCAGTTTTCCTAGATTCATACTTCATACATTCCAAGTTCCGATTATTAATGGATGCTTACAGCTATTTCTCTTTATTTTGAGTTGTGCCCCATCAGAAAATAAAAGTCCCAAGGGCTTCCCTCTATTTGTGTCATGGCGATCAACTCTCCATTGAGGATGCAGCTCTTCCCCAGTTGCATTTTGAGTGCCTTCCTACCTGAGGGGCTCATCTTATGGCACTATATCTGGCAGTGTCTCTGCTATTCATTACGTTTTCAGTGACTAAATATTCGAAAGTAGTTTGTCTCTCCTTCTTCTTAGTCTGTCTTTGTGTGGAAGCTCATCTGAAAACTGTCCACCATGTGTGGCCCTGCTGGTGTTTCAAATACTGGTGGCATAGGTTCCAGAATCACAGCAACTCACAAGCCACCACAGTCGGGCAAACTGACAGATGAGTGTGGTTGCCATTAATTAATATTTATTATTTATGTGTGTGTTTAGCATGGTAAAGTTAGCTTCTTAAAAAGTGCAGCTGTTGGCCAGCTAAAGTAAATGCTTTAGCCATACCAAAAAAACTTGCGATTGAAGTAAAAGCTGTGTGCTTGTGGCAGAGATTATCTTTGGACATGTCCCTAGCTTTCACTTGCAACCATATTGCTATCTCTAAATCTTATTATGTAGAATTTCTGGAAGCACTACTGTGGGCATACTGTTGACCTTGTGATACAAGGTCTCATAAGATGTAGAGGACTGGAGGAAACAATAAAATTATATTAAATAATAATACCTCCCCCTACCTATATCAAAGAATCAAACCAAAACAAACCCAGCATATTTTAAATTTGTTTTAGGCACCTGCTTTCAAAAGAAACCAGTTTCCCTTGACTTTAAAATCTGCTCCTGAATCACCTTTCTTGGTTATTGAGGAAATATCAGTTTTAGGTGTCAGCTGCTAAGGCACTCACAGGTAGAAAAATAACGTACCTTTGTTTTTTAAAAAAGTTTTTGAACAAACGTAACTGCCCTGACACGTAATGCCTTTTATGCTTAACTTCTCCTTTTTGCTGTTTTCCTCAGATCTCTGCCAAACGATCCCCATAAGTGCTAGGTTTTGAAAAGCATTTATTGCAATTCTTGAGTGGAATCTCTCCTTCTTCACTTTTTCTTTTATGCAAGTGCTAAGACGTAGTTTAAGTGCTCAATGAATGTATGTGAAATGAATGGTGATTTTTCCTGTGTTTGGTCTTTTATTTATACATTGGGCGATATCTGTAGGTATGATGTAGAACTGCAGAGCATAGAAAACTCAAGTTTGTGGTCCCTTTGTTTTATTTAAGGAGGCTGATGGAATGGCAAATGTTGTCTTAGTTCTCTCTTGTGGCTATTGTGTGCTATTGAGTCCATTCTGACTCATAGGAACCTTGTAGGACAAAGTAAAACCTCCCTAGTGGGTTTCCTGGGCGGTAATCTTTAAGGAGCTCTGGTAGTGTAGTGGCTACAAACTGGGCTGCTAACCTCAAGGTCGGCAGTTGGAAACTACCAGCTGTTCTGTGGAAGAAAGAAGAGGCTCTCATAAAGATTTACAGCCTCAGAAACCCTCTGCAGGGTCACTATGAGTTGGAACCGACTCCACGGTACTTAACAACAATCTTTATTGGAGCAGCTTGCCAGGTGTTTTCGCCCCAGGAGCTTTAAACTGTTGACCTTACAGCTTGCAGCCGAGCGCTTGATCATTGCGCTACCAGTGTTCTTTATTAGTTTCCTTTCCTAAGGCTGCCATAACAAAGTACTAGTGGGTCTCTTATAAGAATAAGAATTGAAATGGATTGTCTCATGGTATTGGAGACAAGTCTGAATTCAGGATGTCAGCAGGGCCATGCTCTCCCTGAAGATTCTAGGGAAGGTCTGTTATTGTCTCTCCCAGCTTGTCTGGTGGTGTTATTGCTGTTAAGTGTCGTCAAGTCGGTTCCAACTCATAGTGACCTTGTATAAGGTTTCCAAGGAGCGGCTGGTGGGTTTGAACTACCAACCTTGAAGTTAGCAATGCTTATGCTATAGCTTCACACCAAGAGTCCAGCTTGTCTGGTAGCCCCATGCATTTCTTGTCTTGCAGTTAGTTGTAGGTTATATTTCTTTTCTGGGTGGGTCTGTGTCTCTTCTCCATTATAAGGATGCTCATCAGATTGTACCACCTTGCTCCAATGTGACCTCTTGTTAACGGATAGCATCTTCAAAGCCTTTATTTGCAGACCAGGTTCGATTCACAGAGATGGGAGTTTAAAGACTTTAACATACCTTTTTAAGGGACACAATTCAATTCAGAACAGAGATAAACTCAGATATAAAAAATATGGCACATAGCAGAATTTCTCAACCTCATACCATTGATACTTTGGATCAGATAATACTTTGTTGTTATTGGGGTTATTTATGCGTTCTAGGATGTTTAATAATAGTCCTGATCTCTACCCACTAGATGCCAGTAGCATACTCAAACCCCTCCCAGCAAGTTATGACAACCAAAAATGGTTTCTCAGCATTGCCAAATGTCTCATGTGTATGGGTGGGGGCCCAAACCACCTTTACTTGTAAACCACTGGCACATAGGTGCAAAATGGCATGATATCATACCAGTGTCTTTTTAAAGAATGTTGTTCTTTGTTAGCACATTAGATCTTCAGACTAATTGTGTACAAGTCGCAAAGGATTTAAATATCAGTGTTGTCCTTGCCATACATATAGATTTGACCCATTTGCTGTGTTTCCGGTGTAACTCCAAAGTCCTCTGTGTAGTTCAAGGACCATGTCTGTTTGGTTCTGTCTAATTCACCACAGTATCCTTAGGGCCTGGCACAACCTAATAATGGTTGTAGTCATAACAGTGCATTGTGAAGTACTTTGTAAGTTTTATCTCATTCACATAGTAAGTAATGCATAATAAGTGCCCAATAAATATTTGTTGGGCACTTGGCAGAACTGATGACATGATGCATATCTCAGAAGGAATAAAATACCTGTTAAAGAGAAAACTGTTTTTTTCACTGTCTCTCTTCTTTTGTTTTGGGGGAGTTTTGATTGTCTGTAAAAGCTGGTTATATAATCACTGGCAGATATAATTAGGAGATATAATAAGGAGGATTTGCTAATGGTTCATGCACTCGAATGCTAACCAAGAGATTGGAGGCTTGAGTTTTCCTAGAGGTGCCTCAGAAGAAAGGCCTGGCTGTCTACTTCCAAAAAACCAGTCACTGTAAACTCTGTAGAGCCCAGTTCTACTCTGACACTCATAGGGTCACTATGAGTTGGAGTCTACTGGATGGCAGCTGGTGGTGTTATCACCAAATAGCCATGCTATCCCTGCTCTAGTTCTCATGCTACAGCAGATGCTTATTTAACTCTGTAGGGCTGTAGCTCATTAGGGCAACACTAATATTTAAAGGATCATTTGTTTCCTCCAATAGATTCTATCTACTGGAAGTTCTTTCATAACAATAATTCATTTTTTCTCTTTTTAGGACCACTGAAGCCAGAAATAACTGTAACCTACATTGCTGTTGCAATAATATTCTTTAACAGTGGACTGTCATTAAAAACAGAGGTACTGTAACCGATGGGGCACATAAAAAGGAGGGAAAAATTAATTTGTGTTTAACTGTTTTGAAATTTCAGGGCCCTTTTGTAAAGCTGTTTGTAACTGTAATCCTAATCCTACAGTGTAATAGAAGGTAACTTGAACTTCAGCAAAGGATTTGTATTTTGTTCCTCTGTGTCCTAGAAAATTCATAGTTGAGCAATGTTGACTCTCAAGATGTGATTATTGTGTGCATGTTTCTAATAATAGCAACTGAAGCATGTACTTTGGGTTTTCCTCAAATTGTGGTGGTAACTTTGCTGGCAACTGTTGTGCTTCAGTGCGCATGAGCTGTTGATGTTTAGTTGGGTTTGTATTCCTTTTGTGGATCATCTTTTGTTCCTAGGATTGATGATACTCAAGTGGTGCTTGATTTATCTCAACTTTTAGCTAATTAAAAAACAAAACAAAAACTGATTGGAATACCTAAAAGGGGTTCTAGAATTTACCCAGTGAAATAGGCTTTTTGCAGAACTTTTACAGTGTATAGGACCTTAGATATATTCTCGAGCCCCATCCAGAACCTTCTGAGGTGGGGCATTCCCACTAGAAAGGACGAGCAGACCAGCCTGAAACAGCTAGAACAACAGATACATTGTCAAAGAAAGATCAGCAAGAAAAATCCAAAACAAAAATGGCAGTGTGATCGGCTACTACAAGAACAAGCAAATTGTTCACTAGGGAGCCATCAAGGCACACAATCAAGTCCCTTCAGGACAAACTCCCCTCTAAGGCTGAAACTCAAAGGGAATACATGAACAGGCATGTAAGCTTGCTAGCAACCATGTTGGTCTACTGGTGAGTGGAAGAGTAGGGAAAGGCAGCAATGAAGAAATGGGCTGAGTTCATTCACGTTCCATAGACTTCCGTTGACTTGGAAATGAGAGAGAGAAGGGGAAAGGCTGGGAACTCCTGAGCCCATGGACAAGGATATAGCCACAGAGAACTAGAGCTGAGAGTGAAGCATCCAACTGATATGAAGTGAGGGGAGATGCACAAGAATGCCCAAACTTGAAGATAGTACCCATCTGACCTAGCCTTGATGGCTTGATAATCAGAACTCAACTAGACAATGATTAAAAAAAAATTTTTTTTTGATAAAGGAAATGAATGTAAATTGCTACAATTTGATGAAATTAACATCCTTTTAATGGATGTAATAGCTCACAATACCAGCTGTGAGGGAAGGAGTCTTCACATCAAGTATCAATCCTATCCCCTCTGTATACAGGGTAGCTAGAGACAGGCAACATAGACATTGGCTACCTAAAATGAGGGGGTGATAAAGGCACGAAGCGACTTTACAAGTCACTGGTTGACTTGTAAACTAAACTTTACAAGTTTTCAAGAGGGAGTTTAGTTTCCGAGTAGGGGGAAGGTAGAATCTCCACTGAATAGTTTTCATCTTGTCTAGATGGGTCTGGTGAAGAGATGGGGATAAGATTCTTATGATTCAATAGTGAGTAATTGTTACTGTGGCTAATTGCTATTGTCACAACTGTAAAGGTAGAAGCTTTGTAACAAATACGGAGGAGTAGTTAATTTTTCAGAAACAGAGGACTTCATCTTTCTCCTGTGAGTCACACTTAAAAGCACAAGCTTTTTCTGTCAATACCCGAATTCGAATATTGATTCTTAAATCTAAGGCATGGTGATGCGGAAGCATGCATGCCACTCCCCTGGTGCTGAACTGACCTTATTTTGAGGTCCTCCTGGTGGCCTTGGATAAAGTTCTTTGTGGAGCAGCTGCCTCCCAAGGTCTCTACTTGGGATGTGGCTCTAGCTATGTCCCCTGGTGGTGGTTTAATAGCCACAACTGTTACTTATGCCATGGGAAACCTGGCAAGAGACTTGATTTCTCTTGCATCTTACTTAATGTTCTGCACAACAGCCAACTCTGTGGGATGTAGCTGATGAAGAAGGGAGAATGTCACAGCTTTCTGTGTCCTCTAAGGACTGGCTTTCTCTGTAAGCACCTAGGAACCTTTTGTGCCATCTAGCTAATTTGGATGTAATAATGAGATGCCTTGATTCCATTCTTTATCTAAGTATCTAAGTAGCCACCTAAGCCACTTCCTCCATCAAAGGCCCTTTTCAAACCAGTACAACATTAAGTCACTTTCAAAAGCCATTTAGCTTAAGATGTCCTAGATTGCATCATTGTGTAATGTTAAACCATTGCTTAGCCCTGCTGATTTCCTGGGCAACTGAACAGTTAGTTGTAAGTTAGGAGGCAGCCGTCTTATTGTTATTTGTTTTCTAGTTAATAATCTCATTTCCTCTGGGACAACCTCTTTTACATCTATTAGGTCTTAGAATAGTGCATTTTTGCACATAGGAGACACTGGGTAATTCATTATTGATGAGTTTATTGAAAGTCTTACGTTGGCCCCATTCGAGTTTGATTTATGATGAACAGTTCATGTAGTATTGCTCATACATTCATTCAATAGCATGTATTCTAAAATTTGTTTTACTAATGTGTGTTTGTTATAATTATATAGGACACTTTGTGCTAATACCATGCCAAATCTTCAGTTTTATGGCTGTTGATTTCTAGTTTTTGAAATAGCTATTAAAATAGTTTCTAAAATTTTGTTGTATTGAAGTGAAATAAAGTCATACTTGAAATATGTTTTATACTTAGCTAACTCCAAACTTGTAGTTTCAGAGGATTTGTCACTTAAAAGATTATAGCAGGGGCAATTCAATTAAACAGATAACAGTTACATGGGCATGGCTTCAAGGCACTGTGCTTGCTATGCTAGGGTAAGCCAAAAGGTATTGCTACAAACTCAGGAACTTTTCTTAGACAGAAACATCAACATGTGAAGGTATTGTTTCTTGACATGTGTCCCATCTCGGACTATTCACTTCTGAAGTCAGTGTCTCTAACCCTTCCTAAAAGATTGCTGTGCTATGTCAAAATGCCAGTTTGGGCATCCTTGAGGGACTCAAATTTTAAATGTTCATTGAGATTAGGGATCAAAAAGAAGTCTGAAGGGCAAGATCAGCAGGGCTGTAGGGTGGATGAAGTAAGATTTCCCAGTGCAATTCTTGTAGGACAGCCCTTCATGATGGGAAACAATTCCTCGGCAAAGCCCCCATGATAGTCCTGTGCCTTTCCAGAAAATCTGTTAAAATGACCCTTTTGAAATCCTAAAAACAGTCACTATAATCTTCTGAGCTGATCTCTTTGTCTTGAATTTAACTGGCCCAGAAAATCCCCTTGGAAGCCACTGTTTGGATTGTTACTGTTAAATGCCGTTTAGTTGTTTCAACTCATAACGACCGTGTATAGGATTTCTGAGGAGTGGCTGGTAAGTCTGAACTGTTGATCTTGCAATTAAGTGCATATTCTACAGCACCACATCAGGACTCCACTGTTTGGGTAGAACCTTTTTTTTTTTTTTTTAAAGGAACTTTAATAAGATTAAGACAAGTGTATTAGTTAGAGAACTTCTCTGCAGCCACCCACTGATCACAGAGACGTGTTCACACTTAAAAAAAAAAAAATGAAAGAATAAATAAACTCATGCACGTATGAACTGAAGGGGTCCTGGTGGTGTAGTGGGTTATGCATTGGGCTGCTAACTGCAAGGCCAGCAGTTTGAAACTACCAGGTATTTATGGGAGAAAAATGGAATTTTATGCTCCTGTAAAGATTTACATCCTTGGAAACCCTGTGCAGAGTCACTGTAAGTTGGAACTGACTTCGGGGACATACAACCACCACACCATCATGTATGAAGTGAAACCTAGTGATAATCATACAATGAATGATGAGCAGAGAGCTCAGGGCCTCAAAAATGGTCCTGAGTAGGAAAAACCATATAGGTTTTTCCTAAGCAGATTTTAAAAATTAATTTTGTCTCATTAACTAGGAAATAAGTATAACAAGTTCTAAATCTGAGGCTCCTGCTGCTCATTTTAAGCCAAGAACTATGAGGCTGACTCCCAGAAAGTGAATCAAATGAAGGTCAAATGTGGGTTGAAAGTGAAATTGATATGTAATGAAAATTTTTCTTCATACTAGTCAGAGCCCCTGATTTTAAGCAATTCTTGGTGCTGTTTGTCACTGAAATTCTAATATAATCAGAACATTATGTGGCGTATCTTCTTAAGGTCATTGTAGTGGAATTTGTTCTATTTTATAGGCAAATAAACAGAATTTATAGGAGCTCTGGTAACATAGTGGTTATGAATCGGGCTGTGAACCACAAGGTCAGCACTTCGAAACTACCAGCTGTTCCATGGGAGAAAGACGAAGCTTTCTGCTCCCATAAAGATTTACAACCTCAGAAACCCTGTACAGGGTCACTACAAGTCAGAACTGACTCCATGGCACATAACAACAACAACAACATACAACTCCAACAGCCAGAATTAAT